AAAAAAAAAAAAAAAAAACGTTTTTCTGTTAAGTAAATATATGTTTTTTCCCCTATTGAACTTCATTCATTCACAATATGCGTTAAGATACAAAACCTCTACACTAATAAAATAACATTTAAAATGTATTCTCAAATAAAATTATTCAATAACTAACTTTAAATGGATCTAGTTTGCTTTTTTCACGATCAATATCCATTTTCATTTTTTGCTGATTTTCAGGCGTAAACTCCCCTTCTGATAGTCTATCAGTCCATTCAAGACAAGCTTGAGCAAAGAACTCATTATTTAAAACAGATGAGTTTAATAATGGCCTAAAAATCAAAAGAATCATTGTTTTATCTTAAATATATTATTCTTGAGATATAATATTTAACATGAGTACACAAACCGGAAATCAGATTGAGTATCACTTATATTTTCCCTATCAACATGTGGTAACATTTGAATTAGTTTATGTTGATAGAGACGGGGTAGCATTGAAAAAGTTTGCGTATTCAAAAGTGATCTTAAATTAACTTGTGCTAGAACAGAATCTGGCGTTTCTAAATCAACACAACCTTCAGCCTTTACTTGCTGTAATTGAGCAGCAGCTGACAATCGTTTAGATCCGGGGCGTTTACGTGGTTTTACTAAACTAAATCCTGGAATAGATGATAACACTTCCAACATTGTAGGTACTCTAGATTCATCTTCAATGGCTGTAAAACACAATTTAAAATCTTAAAAATTATCTGTTTTATAGACAATAATAATGAACTCTAAAAATAAAATATATTTTTTATAGTTAATAAATAAAGATATGATTTTTTAAATACTTAAAATTCACTTAGGACTTCCTTAAGATAGCAACATTTTATCAATTAAATCAACAAGTGGTATAGATGAATAAAAGTTGTAATTGAAAAATTATTATTATGATATGTATTATGTTCAATGATAGTATTATGTACAATTTTAACAAATCATTGTAATGAATAAAAAAATTACAGATTATAATAGTTTATAATTGGTAACATATTTTGCCAACCACTGTTAGCATTAAATATACAATTTTGAAAAAACACATTCATTGGTTTTTGATTAAATACATTTTAATTTTAGCCTATCTACCTCTAGAAAAAAATATAAAATAGTATCGATTACATACCTATAAAGCATTTCATACTTTTAGGTATAATTCTATATCGGGCATTGTTAATAGTAATTCATATATAATACATTACTTTAAAAAAATAGCTTCACAAGAATTTTTCACTAATAACATAAATTATTTTTAATTAGGTATTTGGAAAGATAATAATAAAAAAATAAAAAAATAATGCACTTATACTTTTTAAGAATAATTTTAATTCATGCATTTTTACAAGCTAATATTTTTAGCTCTATTCTTAGACTTAATATGACCTAATTTGACAAAGATCTATTGATTATTTTCAATAGAAATGATGGACTACCCCAATTTATAGTTAATTGAAAATGTGATTTGTGGTGTATGAAAAAGTTTTGTGTGAAAGGAACTGTGTACCAAGGTTGTATTTAAATGAACTAAAAACAAGAAGCATTCCTTACGAGGATGCTATCCATGTGATTGTTGTTTTTTAACCTAATTTCTATTCGCTAGATTTAATAATATGCTGTTAGTATTATTATAAGAGTGAATTGAACAATTATGTAACTTTTAGGTAAGATTATTATCTATACTTAAACTTTGGATTATATTCAATACTTAAATTTTCAAGTAAAATATGAACATATTTAATTTGTGATATTCCACATACTCATGTATTGCTTGAAAATTAAAATATCGTAAAAATTAAAAATACTTAAGATATTCTTACCTAAAAAATTTATWAAAGTAAATTAATTCTAATATCAAAACTAACAGCACACTATTGGAACTAGTGAATTAAAACTAAGTTAAAGGACAACAAACGTATGGATAGCATTCTTTTAATATAATTGGTAAGTGTGAACTAACATTATAGATTAGGCATATTAATTTTCTAGGTCCATTGAATTCTTATGGACATAAAAATATATACTCATTATTTTTATTGTATTTGCAATATTTTGTTGGGTAGTTCCAACCAGGAGTACAACAAAATCAAAAATAGTTTGAATACTCAGTCATAGGCAGTTATCTTTATTCTGTGGTAAAGCTATGAATTATCATAGTATCATTGGCTAACTTTCCCTAACATAACTGCTGGCAGCTCAGTTATCAGTATTCATGCACAAATTTGGGCATTTTTTATCCTGAATAGAGAATAATATTAGGTATAAATAAATTGTACTAAGAATTAGAAACATCAATTTGATATGTTATGCATAAGACAGAGACAATATAGTCTGGTATTTTTAATTAGAATCATCAGCAGCTTTTAAATACATGATTAATATCTAGATATATAAGACAGTAGTTACCATATCATTTATATTGTATTCTACAAGAGAACATGCTGGTTATGCACATCCCTCCATTTCATCCTACTATCCAAAACCAGTTTCTTTAGAGCAGGTGTAAAGTGGGGATGCGCAAATAAACAGATTTTGGTCAAGTAGCAGCATGTTCTCTCGTGAAATAGAGTATAAAACATCAAACGACAAGAAAAAAAGACAATCTATACAAGCTGTATGGAAAATCGAATACACTAGTATACTTGCTTAGATACATATATAAAACTTAAGACCATAATATACTATAACAAGTTCTCACTGATACCATACACAAAAAAAACCATTTAAGTACACCACAATCAATAAAATTATGCATTAGAGAAAGACATTTAGAAGGTTAACACAAATTCGTCAGTTGAACAGACGTTCAACACAAATTCGACACAATGACATAGACATGATTTCTGAAAGGAAAGGGAAATAAAAAAAAAACTTAGTTTTATGAGATATTCGTGTGTAAATATTTTCACAAATTGTAAATAATTAAATATGATGACTCAGTCTACGGTGTGTATCTTACCCCAGTATAGAAAATGTTAACAGATTATATAAAAATAGTACAACCACGCTATTGGCTTGAAATTTTCAATGTTGATTTCAAATCTTGTGATTTATAAGCAGTATAAGCCATGGTAGCTTTATGTATAAAGATCAAAGACCCTGTAGGCTGAATTCACTGAGCGGATGGGTAAAGTTTCACAGATTATGTGGAATCATCTGGCAGTTATGCAAATTTCACTTTCATAAGTTAATTAAACACCGTAGGACGACACTATTGACTTGATATTTCACAATTTGAGTAGGCATGTTATGGGCTATAGACCCTGACAATTTTATTTTAAGTTTAACACTTGAGAAGTCCTTAGTACAATTAAAGACGGCTGAAGTTTGATCGAAATCACCCGTCATTTATTGCAAATTTACGCTTAAAAATTAATTTGAAACTTAAAAGTTGTCCAATAGTTTTGAAACTCACACCATTAGATAACACATGATTTTGGCTACTATATCTGTTAGTTTAATGTATAAGGATACAAATCCCTGTCGTCAAACACAAATATATGTTAATATGACAAAATATTACATTATAGTGCATTCTACATAATGTAAGCAAAAACAAAAAAAGCCTATGGAAAGGTTACCTCCATGTCCCCCCTTGTATATACCACATTTAAGCAAAAAAAAAAATTGTAATAGTATTTATTAAAGCAGTTAAATGTTAATGGTTTTTTTTCAAATTACCTACATTTTACAGTTAGTCAACAAAAAATTTGAATACATCAATAAAGTTAATAAATAAACATYAATTTCATTTCAAATATTCTACTGGTTTGAACCTATTAAATAAAATTGCATTTAAAAACATGTAATTTGGCCGGGTACACACCAATGCTATATACCGACTGCAATAACCTGATCGCTTGTTTCGCCCTGTGCTGGTGTGCACCCGGACTAATAGCACCACATTTATATTATGAAAATAAACAAAAAACTTATTTTTAGTATTGAAAAATTATAATTAATTTAACTGGGACAGTTGAAAACTATAATAACACTATTAACTTAATACAATATAGTCGGAAATACGACAAGTGAACTCCTAATCGGTTGTAACATAATTTTAGTTTATGACCTTTTAAATACCCAGCCTTCCTTCATTTTGTAATTACTATTAAATGTATAACTGTTTAAATATAATTATATTTACTGTTAATTTGATTGGAGGGGAGTATAATTCTTGGAAGAGGAGCTACATTTCCAGCAGCAATAGTAGTGTTTTTGCGCCTTCGTTTAGCCTGTTGTCGTAAAGCATGTTTCATTACTGTTTTTGAACCGGAACTTTTAGCATTAACTCCTCTAGTTACTTTTGAAATACTCCAAACATTATCATCTTCATTAGACACCTTATCATTTTCTGAAAAAAAAAAATAGTTCAAGATTTAAATTTTTTTTTTATTAATGCTACCCTCGGCAACATGGGCCATTGGGTTTAACGTGAGAAATATATATAAAGGGGGAAAAAAAATTACATGAATCTTACTGGGTAAGATTTAAATTATTAAGGTCCATTGGCCCTAAATAATCTAAATTAAATTATAGAACAACAAGCATTAAAATAGTTTAATCCTTAATTTGTGACACTTAGTTTTAATTTCATACCTTTAAGTTTCTGAAGTTTAACTGGCGTTAATGATGTGTTGGAATCGCCAGAAGAAAGAATTGTCCTTTTTCTGTCCTCCATTTTATTCATTTCATAATATTATGTCATATACCTAAAAATAAAAATAAATATATTATCTCAATTGCAATACAAATTATTTTGCTTAAATTCATAAAGATACTCGAAGGATTTTTATAGTTAATTATTACAACAGTGAATATTTGTAAGATTTTATGTTTGTTTAATGATTTAATTACAAACCCTGGTTACAAATTATTAGATCAATGAAATAATAAGTTTTAGAAAAAGTAATTAAAATGTAATACATTTCAATATTTCAATCAAAAAACAATAATTGTATTGGTTTAACAATAATATATGTTTGTTTTGTTTATGGCCACATTCTGGAACAGTAAAACTGCGTAAATTGATTTTGAGGGTGGTTTCTGGAAGCAAATTTAATATTATAATTGGTCGCCGTCATGAGTGCTTCTTATTTTGAACAGAGAATAGTTGATTATTTTTTTAAATAAAAACATTTATTTGTTTATATAAGCATTATAAATTCAAATTTAGAAGGAATTCGTCAGAATCCCAAGTAAAAACTAAATCTAAATAACATAATTTTATTTATGAGTGTATCATTTTAACAAAATTGCATATTGAAACATACCCTAAATAAATGATTTCTTTTACCTTTGTAATTTGTTGTAGGTAATTTTTTTTTTTTTAAGTTATTTTAACAATTTTCAATTTTTTGGTATCATGTAAATTATTATTTTTTTAAATAAAATTGAGTTTAAAAAATATTAGGGCTAATTTTAAGCTATTTACACCACAATTCTAGAGTAAATGTGTTTTGCTTGAAAAGTTCAAAATTATAATAGGTATAAGATTATAATATTAGAAAATGTCATTGAAAATAAAGTGATACACAGTTTCCAGTTTGAATCATTTTTTATACATATTCAATAATAGTTATATCATTAAATTCAACATTAACCTAATTATTAAAGTGGCTTACTCAAATGATAACAAAGTATACTTGAAACATACTATACAGTAAAGTTATTTCTCAGAATTTTTATAAATTAATATCTAAAATGTAATTATTTTATCTAGATAACTAAAACAAGTTTTTTATCAAGATTAACTATGTACTTAGCAATTCAAGAATATTATATAATATATTAGAAAGAGTGGGTAGAATAATAACTGTATGAAATCAATTAAAACCTTGTTATCAAAAAACAACTATGAATGAAAATGTTAAAAACCAGAGCAACATAGTTTATTTTAATTTTTAGTTTATAAGACTACTATTTTTTATGGCACTTTTTTAGATATTACATGTATTTGTGGTAAGCTATTATGTTAATAGTAGTCTAGATTTTTGGTAGGTATATTTTAAAATATAATTTAATACTTTTGGATTTAAATTAATTTAGCTGTGATATATAATTAATGTATGTATTATTATAATGGGATAAGAAATCATGGAATATTTATTTATATCAATAAAATTGATCGATGTCCATAATGTCATGTCCTTTAGATAGGCATTGCGCAGATTATGTATCAGTCAAAAAAGGCAGCCACAAGGGCCCTTATTGAATACTTATACTCGTTTTTGTTTTTTTTTAATGTCTGTTCGATAGATAGGTATTAAAAAATTGTTTTATATATGGATAGAAAAAGAATTTTTAGTGGAGGTAATGGTATAAAACTATCACTAGATAGCTACATTATTTAGGTAACAACTGATTATTTTTTCAATTTATTGATTGAAATTAGTTAAATTGTAACTTATACCGATTTTGTAAATTTAATTTAATAAATTCTACAGCTAAAAACAAAATGCTGGTGACCTAAAATACCATTATTTATCAGCATAAGTTAGGACTGCCATTTGTTATAAATCATATTGGTTTCCAATAAAAAAGTCTCACGTCTTCAAAAATGTTCAGTTTTATCAAAACCCATCCCATTTATTTTTTGAATGTTTATATTTATTTCAGAAATGATAAGTCATGTAGTATAAACATTTTCAATCAAATGATTTGACATTATTCTTATTTTTAGTTGTTTATTCTGCGTTAATTGATCAAAATACCTAGATAGAGCTATACATTTTAGTTTTTTTTTAGGTGGTTCTAAGCATTCAGATAATTGAAAATATAGTACCAAAAAAAAAAAGTTATTTAAAAAATTGTTTCTTAGTTAATTCATGGTGGAAAACTGACATTACAGGTCATTTCAAAACAAATATATTTATATATACCTATACTTTGTAATCAAAATTTAGTTGAACTATTTGTGATTTTTATAGTTATAGGTATATTATTATAGAATATAACTGTATATATTTATAAATATAATAAATTGTTAAGAACAGGTAACTGATTGAAAGGAATCAATAAAAAAGACACATACAACATTTTCAAGAGATATGGCACAACTATTTCAATGTTTTGTATGTTAACAATATTTTTACTTTATTTTTAAACTATTAATTATATTCTAAAAGAATTTAAATTAAGAGCGTATATTATAGGCAGGGCCGTATTTAGGAATTTGACACCAAAGGGCAAAAAAAAAAATACGCCTCATTAATCATTATACAAAATACAAATTTAAATTATAAAAAAATTAGCCGCCCTTTCCTACTCAGCCGCCCGGGGCAACAGTACCCTGTAGCTCCCCCCTAAATACGGCCCTGATTATAGGTGATCAATAACGAAACAATAACGTCTTTGATAATAATATTATTGAAAAAAACAGGTTTGCAGCATGCAGGTCAGCTTTAAGACTAACATGCTTATAACTTTACTATGACATGGTTGCGGTGGGAAACTGGTCCATTAGCGGCGCAATGAGGTATGTTTTTATTTTTCGTCGAGTATAGGCATCCTTATATAATTTAATTGAAAAAGTAAATTTTTTTTTTAACATTTATTCAAAATTAAGGCATTGTAAAAAAACTTAAGAGGACGCTACACAATTATTTGTTGTCTCCATCTTACAAGTGCATAATATAACAAATTTACGCTCAGTAGATCACGTTTAGTTTCGTTAGTTTAAAAATTAGAGTGATTCGACATATTATGAAACTTGATGTTAAGAACATTAACTTTATTTGTATGTGGATTTTTTTTACGATAGTTCAATTTTATAACAAGTTATGCGTATATAAAAAATGTAAATTAAAAATGCTCATAATTCACTTCGAAACTAAATTATCCTCAAAATTATCATTAGAAAACCCATAAACAAACACAGATAATGTTACCATCGAGTTTCATAATAGGTCAACTTACTTTAATTTTTAAACTAACGGAATTAAATGTGATCTGCTCAGCATACATTTGCTATGTTACGCAYTTGTAAGACAGAGACATAAAATATGTGTGTAGCGTCCTCTTAAGGCAATAAAAAAAAAAAAAAAAAATATCTACTTATGAAAGTATGAAACAATATTATAGCATCAAATCCACCTCAAAAACAATAGATATTATTAATACATGTAAAGATAAAGATGTATAATTTTTATATTTTTAACAGCAWATTTTATTTTATTTCAAACATCAACAAAATATATTTTATTTATTAATTATTATTAATTTTTTAATTAAATATGGGCTTGACCCAAAGTACAGTAGGTAAGTAGTTGGTAGTATAATAAAGATAAATACTCGATAATAGATATAATTCTAATCTGTTAAGTATATTAAAAAAATACATTTTGATGTGATTAGATGGATTAAAAAACATACTTTTGGATGAATTTTAAATAAGTAGGTGGCAATCGTAATTATTTAAAAAAATGTATATGTAACTCTCAAGTATTTGCAATCTACTTACCTACTAGCACCTAATTAATCAAGAGTATCTAAATTAACTAGAATAAACAAACAGTAGCTATTTATTATAAAAGTTAATTAGGTAATAAGAAATCTTTTTAAAACCCTTCAATTAATTATAGTATAAGGTAGAAACTAATAAAACATTTACACAAATTACTTCTTGGTTACATATTATTTAATCAATTTGGTAGAGGTAGCTTTTATATATTTAATAATTATTTGATAACATCTAAAAATTATTATGGTTCAAGTGTAATTTGAGTACACATGTGAACACCAAGTTTTTCAGGTTTTAAAAATAGATAGTTTAAAAAAAAACATTTTTGGAACTTTCAAGTTTTAAGCCTTGGTATACTATTAATATATATTAATATACAATTAATGTTAAATTGATAATTATTAATTTAGTCTTCACATTTTAATTCAAACAATAACTCGTAAAGGACATCACACACTGCAGCGGTAAAATGTGTCCGGCTTCATTTTGCCACTACCACTACTGCTGTAGTGTGTACGGGCCTTAACATGTTGACTGCCATGTGGCCGCAGGCAGCCACAAGAATATTTATCATTAGTACACCAAGGACATTTTTCAGTGTCATTATAAATTTGTATAACTATTATATACTATTGAATTTGAAAATTATGTTTATTACATAAAAATAAATAAAATTATTCCTGCTACGCCACAGCGCATTTTCTAGATCACTGTTGTAGTGTAAAAGAAAATTTAATAATATAAATACAAAATTAATTTACAGCAACCCGTGGCCACATGACAACCTATGAATGATATAGTGCGGCAGCCGGCGGTTTAAAAATAATCAATACCTAATAACTTTTATACGGACGCCGGCAGCCACATGGCAGTCAACGAGTTAATAACTAGATCAACATCACAAAGCTTAAAATATAAAATAAGTGTGATCATTTGAAAATTTAATTGAAAATATGTAAATAGTACAACCAAACATTTAGGCACCTATGTACAAATAAAAAAACAAATAAAAGATTACACCAAAATAATTAAATTCATTAAACAATGACGCAAATAAAAATAATTAATGATAAAATGTAAAGCATTGAAGATCATAAAACCAAATAGGAAAGTCTAAATGAGATATATTTTTTTAAGTATTTATATTATTTGAGTATACTCAAAACTATAACACAGCACCAACAAAATACTGGGCTCTCTAAAAAAAAAAACAATTCTCACAGTACGTACCTAGCTGAGATTAATATTAAACAACACCACAAGAGTACTAAATATAGGTATATTATTATACTGACCAGTTTTTAAGAGAAGTTACTCAGTGATGGCGAATGGCACGTACTCGTGGGGAAATAAGTAACTGTAGCCGGACAAATATCGACAGTCGGTAGAGAAGTTGTTGAGGTGAGTGGCCGATAAAATTTTTAGACAGAGGATTGTTAACTATGGTGCTTTGATGACAACCCAGCTTCCAGATGGATGGCAGTGAATGCGGCGACCAAACGTCCGTCCAAGCAAACGGATAACACGTGTCGTCATGCGTATTCTTGGAGGCGACAGAGGCGGTTTTTGTCGTTGTTTTCTTCTTCTTCGTCGTCGTCGTTGTCTTCTTGTTGTTGTCGCCGGGTCCGTCGTTTACGCATTTCGTAGAGAACCGTTTTTTGAACGCTGAACGCCGTGCGCGCAGTACAATAACAATCGCATATTATTGTCTCCGGGCCGAGTCATGTGAGACGAAATCGACCGATCGGACGACAAAACGAAAAGCAGAAGATCACAAGAACGAGAGAACTGAGAAAAAAAAACCAATAACTATTTATTGATTACAATAAAATAACGTATGCCGATCGACCGACGCCGTACCAACTATGTGCGCGCGTAATTCACGTTCGTTATCGTTAACGGACGCGTTGCCGTATCGTCTGCTCCTTGTCGAAGTACGACGCGTATAACGACTATAACGTAATATCAACTAACAGACACTACACAATTATTACAAGAACACCGGCCACGGTGCGTGTGTGCGTGCAGGACGCAGGTTCACTATGCGCGAATAATATTATAAAATATATGTATTATATTTTATTATTATTTGAATAGTAATAATAGTAATAATAATATAATACAATATTATACGTTGTTGGAAGTGAAAAAAAAAAAAAAATAATAATAATAATATTATCTACGCGAGTTATCAGCGAATGGGCCAAAACTCACGGACGAAAGACGAAACGCGGCGGCGGTGAGAACGTCGTCGCTGCGTACAATACAACCACTACGGATGCGGGTGCCGTCAGAGTGGGGGTAATCGTCCGTGTTGCCGCCGTGCCTTCGGTGTTTGTGTGTTATTATTATTGTGAAATTCCGCCGTAGATGTGTGCGCAGCGCTCGACTCAACGACGGCGGTGGCTATGATAATAATATTATTATTGTATGCTGTTGCGTGCGAAACCTGCGACAGCGGCGATGCCGACCGAAACGATCCGAGCGGAGTCGGTTGGCGTTTTTTTCTTCTCGTTTTTATTACCTACCTGCCTATACGGCTGTAATGCTTTACATATTACCTACCTATTATATACATCCACATAAATGCATTGTGCTGTATGCCTGTATCGCGTTGTATAAAATCTTTGACTTTTATTCGTATTTCGTTTTATTATTATTATTATTATTATTATTATTATTCCTCCCCGTTTTCCATCCGTTACGTTAGCTTGCACTGTCGTCGTACGCATATAAAATCATAGTAATAATAATAATAATAATAATAATAATAATATCGTTCCTATCCTCTCAGTGTGGCGACAAAAACCTACTGCCGCCAGCCAGACGCGTCGTGAGCCCGTGACCTCCCCCAGTTACCCGCCAACGCTACGAGGAGGATTCACGAGAAAATGTCGACGGATCTCATCGCGCTCAACCCCACTTCCCGCCACTACCACATCCGACACCCCAACTGTGACTATCGTGGTCGTTCATTCGGACCGTCTGTATTCCGTAGTCTGTACCTAAGTATTGTAACGAAATTAAACGTACGCCGTACTACCATCAAACACCAGAAACCAGAGTCCATGATTTATCATTGTTATTTGTTAAAATATTATACAGAAACACGTGAAATAGAAATATTTCCAACAGTCCACTATTGTTTTGATAATCGATACAGACGCCAAGTCGTCGAGTGAAACGCATTGATTGATAAAAAATTATTTTATTAGTTTAACGAAAAATTTCGATAAATTATAAAATGTACAATGATTGTTTTATACGTTATCAGAAACGGCCGAGGTCGCGTCCTGATTTGATATCAATGCTATGTAAATCCTAATCTCTTTTCGATGGTATAAATAATATAGACTTATAATAATATGTTATTTTATTATAAGTCTATGGTCTATGGCATAAATGTAATAAAATTGTACACCACGTGCCCGAACACGCAAATCCAACATTCGTCGTATATACGAACTAAATTAAACCTAATATCGATTGTTCGAATTCGAATTAATAAATTTCAACGCTGGCTGGCTCGCTCGCGTAACCCAGTTTTATTCGTGTACACAAGTACCTTTGAATGTGACTTGTATCATATATTATGGAGTCTATACCATGATTTAATTAATAGTTATAATAGTTAAACCATAGTCTAAACCCTATACTATGGACTATAGGTACATTGTAAGAATATATTGTTAGGATAGGTACTGAGTTGCTATAAAATTAGTAATGCTTTATCATTATTTTCTTACCAGCTCTACCAATAAACATCAACTGATCGTTTAGTATTCTTATTTACATTGTTAAAATTTTAACATCGCTTTACATCGTTTTAATTACAATTTTTAAGTAGTTTGGGATTTGTTCAATGCGACATAGCTTGATACCTACTCACATCGGCTTTATTTAAACCTAAGTATATTAAAATTTGTAATACTTTTACGTAGGTACACGAAATTCAGATATTGTGAACAATGAAAACTAATAAACAAGTAATTATTCTTGATTGGTTGGGTATAAATATTATATTATTTACCTAATGTTAATTCTTAAGTATCTATGCAACAAAAACTCGAAGGTTATCTCATTATTTGATTAAACTAGGCAACTATACTTACTTAAATGCATGCATATAATACGATTGAAACATGTAAGGTGTAATTTTTTAAGGTATTTATTCATTACTTTATTAGGTAGGTACTATTGTATAATAGGTAACAAACTAATAATATATTAGAATTTTAACCTAATCATTATTAATTAATAATATATAATTCGATTTTGTATCATTGTGTATTAATAATAATATATCATGGTTCATAATAATAATAATAATAATAATATATTAATTATTCACATAAAACTTTTAATCTTAATATTATTATACTTAGGTACAGCAATAAATTGAATAAATATTTTAAGTGATAACTACACAATACACATACACAACTGAGTGGGAGCTGGTGTTTATTTCAGACCTTCTATCCCGGGGGGGGG